CACACGGGGACTCTCTAGAACTAGCTAAGCGACTGCTACTAGCAGACACCACCCTTTCAGAACGGACACAACTCACGGTGGATCAGATAGTGGAAGGCATAAAAGCATGCCTGAATCTCACCCTTTTCGCTTGCGACTCCGTAGTTTGCACTCAAGAACAAGGTCCAGCAATGGGACCTCCAATATCCCCAGTTTTGACAAATAGATTTATGGAAGAATTTGAACAGAAAGCTCTAGACACAACCCCGTATCCACCTAGTGTATTCTGGCGTTATTTAGATGATACTTTCGTCGTGATGAAACAAGACAAGGTTAGTGAGTGCTGCAACTATCCGAATGAACTGAATCTACACATCAAATTTAGTGTGGAGATACAGTCAACCTCGGGTACACTGGCATTTTTAAACTGCGTTTGAGATGTTTTAGGTCTAGCGATTGACGATACTGGCGCTTACACCTGATCTGCGGTTCTCTGCCCTAGTATTGCTAGTCGTCATCGTAGTTACTCTTGGATGAGTGGACCTAGTTTCTTTACCAGTTCGGATTTCTGGTCCCTTCCTTCGAGTGACTATATTTTTCACGTGCTTTCATGATTTTATCTACTGCAACCAGGATTCGGCGACGTTCCACCGACATATTCCATTCCATGGCACAGCTGCATCGGAATTACGAAAAGGTTAGTTAGCCTCCTGTTGCGAATCACACGTAATATTCTGTAGCATAACCTGATTGACGAATTTTTGTAGTACAGTCGCAAAGTTCGCGGTTGTTTCTCTGGGTAACCGACTGGTTCATTTATGTACCTGAGGACGTGCCCTGTGAAACGCATAACTTTCTGTAATTTACTGCAACTGAGCACCCACCCATGCATGTCGCGGGCTGCAGTTGTCCACGCTCGACGACGATCGGGAAAATCAACACAGATTTCTGGTTTCCGATGTCTGGCACATGGACAGGTTGGATCCCGACGTGTTTCCCCTCATAACATGACCGCACTGAGACACTTTGTCATTATAAGCTTACCCGAATGTCACGTATTTCTTTAGAAAAGTTAATGCAAAAGCAAACGCGGATGCAAAGTGGTGATGAAGCTTCCTGCTCAAATCGTCTCACAAGTTTGTACGTGTAACCTGTTCTCTTTACTTTGTTATGGTATTATATATAGACTGTCGTAATATGAAATTGGGAAATGCAGGCGGGTGTGTAGCGCCTAGGGTTTTGACTCCTTTTGCTCTACAATTCATGTACAAGCGTGGGTTTACACCAAGGTACCTTGGATTTTCATCCACGTATCTTTAGAATGCTATTGCAGCATTAAACTTTCCCACACTAAGAATATGTAGCGTCATTGAACCAGATGTTTGCAAATAGTTTGATCAATTTAATAATTTGGACCATGAAGTTAGGAGATGTATACCCCATTGCTAGCGACAAGGAAACTGATTCTATATATGACCTACAGCGGGTGATATTTGATCAGATTAATTAAAATAGCGGGGATCACGAGGCTGACAATGCCAATCTCTTTTATATAGAGGAAAATGTTGGTAGCTCAGGTATCGTATCGTTTTCAACCACCAACCCACCGCTACGCACTACTACGCTCCACAATAATGCACTGATGATATCCCCTCGATTGGTGATGAGACGTTTGCAATCAAATTGCCCAGCTCAGCGAACAAGCCAACGACCACCATGCCAATCTCTCATTAACCGTGTGTTATTCAGCTGTCTTTGTTGGTCTGCATACTTATCAAACTGTCAATCTAAATGAACTCATTTGGGGTGCAATGCATCCTTGAGTATGTTGATTCGTAATCCATTGGAACGGCTTGGGGCCAAATGAATCGATGTTCCGTATTTTCTTACCCTCTCCTCTATGTTGACGAAGTATCTTTTGTGATCGTCCCTTTTTACCTACGCGTGTTTTCCAGAAATATAGTGAAGTTAATCGTCCCGTTCCGTTGTAAAGGCATAGGACTCTCAACCAGATTGCTCGTTGCACTTTTCTGTATGTTATATACAAGCGCATTGCTGATTCGCGATACGTGCTATGTTAAACAGGATGACTAATTTTTTCACCAGTTGGTGGTAAGCTCACTGATTTAATTCGTCTAGTTCGTTGTTCAGATCGATTTATATGGACATTCAAAGGCTTGATTTTAATTATCTGCCCGTTCTCTCCATTGGATCTGATGATGGGGGATAGGACATCCAGTTTTGTCTTACACAGTCGTATTATTATCTCCATTCTATGACCTTTGTCGCTGTGATTTCTGCTTCCAGCTAATTATACGACGCCAGGCTTATGATGCACGTTCGGCAACTGCACGAAATGAATATCTCTTCCAACTGGCTGCAATTAATGCCCACTTGAGACACTACTTTACAAAGGATGTGCCCAGTCTCGTCAAGGTTTGTTTGTTCGGGAATTGAAAATGTGCACTTGTGTCTAATCATATGCAGGCGGTGTTTTTTTTTACTCCGATGCGATGCTGATTGTGTGGACAGAAACTTTCACTAAGTGATAATCTTTTGTTCACTTTGCCTTGGCAAAGGATTCCATGGTTTTTTGCCATTATTTTACCTTTGGTATCACAGACTTTGGATGGCGAGTTGTTTGAGAAACTCAGCGAGGTACTATCTACCCTGAGTCAACACGAGGCAGAAATGTGTGCCCTTACACGCGAACGATTCCAGCGTGTCTTCAGAGACGCTTCACAGGTCAGTGTTGAGTGATTTTGTGTATTTCGCTTCACACCAATTCACCTCGACTTTTTTCGCTCGGCCGAGGTAAATGTCTCAAGTCATTGTTACTGGGGAATGGGGGTTTTGCATTAGCGAAAATCTAATATTGGTTCTACTGTTCGTAGCCGTAGACAGCCTGCTGATGCGGGGACTCCTTAGCACACCTGACCATGTCGATCCAGCATTCTCTTGATCTACTATTATCAACCCAATCTGTTCAGCTGTAGCGCCTTTTCGGTGCCTAACTGCCATGCCACCCGAAGGTTGCAAAAGGGCTGGGATACTGCCAGGTCACCCAAGCCTAGACAGGAGAAGTCG